TCTCAGCACAGGCGGTAGAGTTGATTGCACTTGCCGAGGCATGTAAGGCAGCTGAAGGTAAAACAGTTAACATCTTAACTGATTCACGTTATTCGTTTGGTGCGGAGCTCTTTAGAGACACAGGGGGTGTCTCACGTCATCTGGCAAGCCTATTGCACATCATACCCTTGTGTTGGCTTTTCTGGATGCCATTTTACTACCCAGAGCCATTGCAGTCATTAAATGTGAAGCTCACACCTCTTCTCTTGACCCTGTATCTGTAGGAAACAGAGGCGCGGATGCGGCGGCAAAGAAGGCAGCCTCACAGGGCTTCCTTTTCCCCCTGGCTCAAATGCTTTCCACACCGACCAATCCTAGTCCTTATGCCGATCTTTCCACACTTCAGCGTCTTGCCGGTGCACAGGAGCGTTCCCTGTGGAAACAATCTGGTGCCATTCTTGAGGGCGGAATCTGGACAGGGCCGGACAGTAGGCCCTGTTTGCCACGTGCTCTCTTCCACATTTATGCTAAGTTGTTTCACGGAAAAGATCACGTGGGCAGAGGGGGGGTGTGCACTGCTATAAATGAGCATGCTGAGATATTGTGATAACCTCTCCCCTTCACTCTCAGCACTGCGCGGAGAGGTGTAAGCGGCGCTGCCATCCACAGCTACAGCAATCCAGCACCACTCGAAAACAGGAGACTGGGTCCTCATTAAGGATCACTGGAGAAAGCACTGGAAGCAGAGACGCTACACGGGGCCCTTCCAAGTACTCCTGACCACGGAGACGGCAGTTAAGGTGGAAGGGACAGCGACGTGGGTCCACGCCAGCCACTGCAAACGCATCCCGGATCCAGGAGACGAAGGAGCACCTACATCTGGTTCCGGTTAAGGGGTTGCAGGGTGGAGAGCCCTCCCCCACTGCAGTGTTCCAAGACACCAACAGGCCCAGCAGAGATGGCAGATTCGGCAGGGACGGCAGAGACGACGGCCACCCGAAGAACAGCGATAGAAGACAGATCTCCAGCGCCAAAGAACACTCCAAGAAGGTATGGTTGGAGCCTGAGTATGAACATGTTTTTATCACTATCACTGGCCACATTTGTGCTGATTCCCCTCACGATCAATGAGCTACAACCTCCCTATGCGAACACCACAGATTCCGGCCTTCTCCATCGCTCCAATAGGGAATTTCAGGAAGGGAAAATAAGTTTCCACTGCCCAGCTAAACAATGCGACAAGACCGAGTGTTTGCTCTACACAATAGAACATGATGCATGGGTTGAAATAGAAAGTCACGTAATTGAAATTGTGTGTGTTGCCGGGTGGGGAGGAGACAGAGTATGTACTGTGTGGGTGCACAAGAGTTTTGATTTAGCAGATCCACCATTCTGGTGCAGTAAACCACGATCGTGTCAGGAGATACCAGCCCACACTGGCTCCAGCAACTGGAGGGAGGCATGCAAAAGAACTTACCAGCCTGTCAGCGAGACATAGCTAAAACAGTACCACCTGAAATCATTTACGAGGCCGTTAAACCACAGGCCCTGACCTCCCGCAGGCCAGAACAGCCCCCACCAAAGCAACTTGGAGGCGAGGGTTGATCTCTCTCAATTGTCCGAGAGGGGCGACTGAGAAGGAGGGTTGTAAAGTTTACATGTTACGGCTGAGCACGCCGCACTCAGGTCGCTGGTCAGTCCTGGACTTTAGGACTCAGACAAACGACACTTGCACGGTGACTGTAAGCCCTAAATATGACACGAGTTGGGAATACCCGTTCTGATGCGCTCAACCTGCAGACTGTACAACAGAGCCAGCCCACTTCACTCGGCTAGATTGGCAGTATGCGTGCAAAGTCAGCCTACAGTTAAGAGAACTTCCAACCCGTACACCACGGTACGAGCATGACAATATTGCGTTGACTATCATGAAGGATTTTAGTGACAAAAGGAATGTCTAATATTGGATATGTCAGCATATGCCCATTTCATCTAGAGCACCTATGCTGGTTCCTGTTCCATTCACAGAAGCCGACTGGGATGTCATGGGGTGGCCTGAGCTACCTCGTCGATTTGTGAGTAATGATGAAGACTGTTACTCTTCCACCGCACACGGCGACAACAGTGCAGAGCACAGTTGCCTATGAGGGTGAAAAGGGGGAAGTTGTACGTTTTGCAGTTAAGCGGTTCAATCATGAAAATAGACCTATAGATATTAATTTAATTAATTAATTATAGGTATTAATTTAATAATATTAAAGTGATGTTGGTTAGATTCCGTTCCATCCCTTAACCAACGTTATCACTTTCTAGGTGGTTCCTTTCTAGGTACGAGTGACTGTAGTAAATTCCATCACATGGTACTAAAAAAATAGGATGGCTCTGGACCTCGTTCTGGCCTCACAAGGCGGGGTGTGCAACATAATCAACACTGAATGTTGCGCTTACACCTCCGATGCAACATCATCAGTTTATGACACAGAACGGGGCATTGAGGAATTGCATGAAGACCACGGCTGGAATCCTTTTGGGGAAATACAGGCATTTGTTGGGTCACAGGGACCTTCTCTCTTCAAGGAACTGCTATGGGAATTAGGGGGCATCAATCTGTCTGTAATTGTTAAAACCCTAATTGTAACTGTTTTAAAGCTCTTTGTAAGGAAGGTTGTTGGTACTCATGTATCAGTTGAACACACAAGTACTACTATACGGTGTCCGGTTCAGGAATGGACTCTGACAGTGATGATGAGGGTGAGGATTGTGTGAGGACAGCATGTATGGTGTTTATGTTTAGCAAGAGTTCTCAATGTACCTAGAAGTTAATGATGTGATGTTCTGAATCTTCGTGAATTTACACCGCTGATGTATCTTCTAAGAGTTTTTTTTGTTGTTTAATTTTCTTTCTTAATTTTGATTTGGTTGTTGTTCAGAGTTTCTTAAGTTGATTCCGGATTGTCAAAAATGACAAAAAGAGAGGGATGTTGGGGGAAAATTGTTGAGCCTGCGTGGGGTGAGGCTCTCAGGAATGTGACCTTTGATGTGAGCCGGTGACTTAAGGCAGTCCAGGGTGAGATAAGACACAGATGAAATCATACGTGCCCTGACTGACCTTCTAGATGTTGTTGATTGTCTGGGTCCATAAAGGGAGGGTCACGGGGTCACCCCTACATCATCTGGTACTTTTACAACACTCCTCTTGAGGGGTGGGCTCTCCTGTGCTGAGGCAGCACAAAACCCCCTGAAGTGTCCATAAGCTCCTGTTCTCCTCTTCAGCTTTGTCAGATCTTCCTGCTCCTTTTGGGGGAAGGAAGCTTTTCAGCTGAATTGTAGTCATTTGACTTCTGTCTGTACTTACGGCTTGTGTTGATGATTTCTGTATTCTTATGATTTTTCCTATATTCTAGTTAGTAAAATACTTAATCATAAGCGAGTCTCTGATACTTTTGATTTCTCACAAGGGCTGAATCCCCAAATTTCCACCACAAGAAGCTGCCCTAAAATATGGCTTTAAAGTGGAACTAACATGGACACAATCAGTGGTAAGTAACTGTTTGGTTTTTAAATGAAATGAATAAAACAAGATGAATACAACAATGGTTGCAAATAAACCCTGAAAATCACATGAAATAACAACATTGAATATATTGTAATACCAGATAAATAACCATGGACACAGTTAAATATAATTAAATATATGGTTTAAATCCACGTAGACGTGAACACGTTGATTCTGCGTCTCCCTGAACTCTGCGTTCACGGAAGACAACAATGCGTGAAAAATAAATATCAGAGCCAAGAGCAACGGGATGCGTGTAGTCAACTACTGGTGCTACCACATTCCGCCGGACCAGGATAAGTCATTTATATTAATTAATGAACTTTCTCCTTTTCGACGAGGGCGTCACTCCAGGCCGCAGACCCTTAAAAAAGACTGTGTCCCCCCTGTCGGCCGAACCGTCCGCCCCCCACTCATGATTTTAATGGTCTGGCCCAAACCTATAATGAGTTTGACACCCTTGATTTACACTATCAGGTGTTGTTAACGTTTAAGGTCTTCAGAGCGACTTCCATCGGCGTGATCAGTGATTTAAAAACACAGTATAACAACAAGTGTTGTGTTTGCATTGTGTTCTCATGTTGGGTCTCTGAGTGTGAAGCTGGATCTTCTCCTCTGGTTCTGCAGGTCCAGATGCTGGTGCAAGAAGGTCCTCGAGCAGGAGCTTCCCTCCATCTGGATCCTGAAGAAGTGCCGGGTTCTGCGTGGAGGTCCCTGATCTGTCGGAGAACTTCCTCCTGCTAAGTGACAACCTTCATCTGTTAAACTGCTCCACAGGTTTTCATCACGAAGACATCTGTTTGTTTAAAGGAGCGCTTCATATTTCCACCTGGAGCCTTTGTTCATCTCCACGTTACCTAAAGGACTTAAAGGGAGGAGCAGGTGGCTGCAGTCTGCAACCTGACCACTAGATGTCACTAAACACTACACACTGTCCTCAACAGACACTTTCATACTGTAATGGAAATGTGTGAACAATAAATGAATAAAGCAACATTTGTGTGAGTTGACAGCTTGTTTGTGTTGTTTGTGTCCTGCAGTGAATGTGAGGAAGACGTATGAAGAGCTGCAGAGAGGACATATTTATCTACATGTTAACAGGAGGACGTCACACTGCAGCCTTTCACTTAATGTGAATTATTACAGAGAATGAAGAGACGTTTATGCTGCTTACAGGTTCATCAAGATGATCTTCACATATTAACAACACTTTTATGATGTTTCCTTTTAGCAGAAGTAAGACGGTAACATTAAAGCAGCTTCTTGTTCTGCAGCTCATGCACACTAATGACGGAAAGAGGAAGGAAGCTCTGCTGGGTGTTGAACAGCAGCTTGTTACCAACTCCAGAAGAGACGAGCTGACCTCAGAGACATCAGCCTCCTCTTTAATGTAGACGTGTTTCTGGTGACTTACTGAATAAAGAGTTTCTGATCTGCTGATTGAACACAGAGGAGCAGCTATGAGTCCATCAGCCGGTGGATTAGTCGTCTTCCTTCTCTCTGTACAAGGTACTGTACTTCTACATTTATATTGTGAGGCCGTTACACACCTCACACACACACACAGGGAGCTGTGTTTTTACTTCACACACAGGTCTGATGTCATCACACACAAATAATGACTAAATGAACATTAACAAAGAAGAAATGCTCTGAATAATTTGTCTCTGTTGAACTTCCTCTAATCGTTCAGCAGCGTTTCTTTGCATTAGACCACATTTAGAGGCTGTTATTCACTCCGAGTCTCTGACGACGTTTGTTCTTCTTTTTGGAGCATTTTATTGTGTATTTGTGGTCATTTTTATTCTCTTCCTGGTTGTTGAGTCTCTTGTTGAATGTCGGATCGCGCCCATCGTGTCTGACGTCTTTGCGCCTCCTCCCGACAACAAAGTTCTGTGTTTGTATTTTTGCTAGTTTTATTTATTTTAAATGTAAAGTTTGCAGATGCAGCAGTGACAAAGCTCACCACGAGCTCACTTATAGCTTAACAGAGTTCCTCTTTCTGCTCCGTGGAGACCGAGCCGAAGGCCGCAGATCACCGGCTGTGGGTGCCGAGCGCAGTCGACGCACAGAGCGGCACAAGAGAGACGCTACTAGTGAGGCCAACGCGTTCATTAGGGAAGTTGCTCAAGACGGGCAATTTTTTTGTTAAAAGTTGCTAAATGGCGTTGTGATGTCATTGCGTAATAACGTGACACTGCGTCATTACGTAGAATACAAAATAACGTTACTCAGATTGTCAATCTTGGCAAAAAATATGATTTGACATGTTTTAGTTATCTGTTATTACATATTTTTGTAGAAGTAATATAAACACAACATATTTTATTTGATCGGATGTTGAATTATTGAACAATTCTAGTTTCAAGCAGTCTATTGGTAGTTAATTAACATACTACCAAACTGACCAACAATTACAGATACAAGCTAATAATAAAGTGCAGTTGCTTGAACAAGCAACTTAACTTAAATAACGATGTGTGCACTCCGACGTTTGATTCTTCCCGCACACCCAACATCAGTCAATTGGACCGGGTCTTAAAGGCTACGACGTTTTTGACACGTTAACTAAAGCGTGAGTTTCTTAAAGCCATCACCAGTCCAAGTGCTGAGCGCCGTGTCCTCAGTGAGGTTTGACCTATATGTCACAGTATCGTTCCCCTCAGAGTTCTGCATTTCTCTACAGTTTCCATCTCCACTCTGCAGCAGACTGACCACAGACAGAAGAGCACAGAGCAAAGACACTCTTCTTCTCATCAACCAAACCCTTCTAATACTTCAACTTGAGCTTTTTCAGGTCCACAGGTTCAATACGTCGCTGTTCCTTCCAGCTGCAGAGTCCATGTGGACATCGTGGACTCTTTCATTACTTTCTATAAACTCAATGATTTTCATATTTCTCATAATATCTTTTCTCTTCAGTAAACTACCAATGAGAGTGTGTCCTGTGATGTTGTTCTGAGTGTGACTGTGGTTCCTGATGTGCTGTGTTACAGTGATACAGAGTCAGGATGGATGGAGAGTGAATTACGATGAGACTGACATCTGTAAAGCAAAAGGATCAGAAGTGTATATAACCTGTGACATCACACACCCACCTGGAAGAGATCCCTCGGATATAAAGGACAGATGCTGGTTCACTAAAGAGAAAGATGGTGAAACTGTGGATCTGAGAACAGACTCTGAGTATTCAAGCCGTGTGAAGCACACATGTTTTGGTGATTGGAAGACATGTTATCTGATCATCAAAGACCTGAGAGAGAGCGACTCGGCTGAGTACAAATTCACATTGATGACAAACAAACCAGGAGAGAAATATACTGGTTCACCTGGAGTCACTTTGTCTGTCAAAGGTAACATTTTAATTCACATATTAATCATCTCTAAATGTTCAACATCTAGAAAACTAGAGTATAAATGTCTTCTGTGAATGTTGACACTTTAATAAATAATATTCACTGATTCAGGTCTCCAGGTGCAGGTGGGAAGATTAAATTCTACCTGGTTGGAGCTGAAGTGTCACAGCAGCTGTGTTCTGCCTGGTCGTCATTTAAACGTCTGGTACAAAAATGAAGAGAGCATCAAGAGAGGATCTTCTCTTCTAGTCTCCTATGGTTCTACAGACAGATATTCCTGTTATTTAAGAGGAACTACTGGTCAACGTTCTCCTGCAGTGTGTAAGTTCACTCCACTGTGTCGGCCTGTGGAGCTTCAACAACATCTCACAGGGAGGCACCAGACCGCTGCATGTAAACTAGAGGCATCAAAAAGATGAAGCACAACGTTCCTCAGGAGGTGGAGCCGTGGTCCACTGACCAGAGGGTTGCTGGTTCAATCCCCGGCCCCTGCAGTCTACGTGTAGAAGAGTCACTCACACACTGACACAACAATATGATTCTAATCACAGCTGTAAACACACTGGAGTCTAAATGTTAAAGGAGACACAGATCTTTATTTATGTCATTCTCTTATTAATAGAAACACAAATATAAACCATCAGCAGACAGAATAATGTGATTTTCATAAAGACTCAAGTGAATTATTCCAGAACATAAGTAGAAGTGACGTGTCAGCTGGTGGAGGAAACAATCAATAACTCCTACAACAACTAGAAGTGAGAGGACAGACTCAGCTAAGGACACAAGCAGCATCTAAAGAGAAGAATGTGTGGAGATATGAACATTACAAAGGATTAAAGGCTGCTTATTGTCACTTTACACCAGCAGGAGTCTCACCTGTGACAGCTGCTGTGATGAATACTAGAGATAGTCTGAGAGAAAGACACACAAGTATTCATTCAAATGATCAACTATCTACGCTAACATCTTCTAACCTCTTAGTATGTTTATTCACGTCTCCTCCAGATGGTCCACAGCGTCCCTCTGTGTCAGTGAGTCCCTCTGCTGAGATGCTGGAGGGCGATTCAGTGACTCTGACCTGTAGCGCTGATGCTAACCCAGCAGCTAACTACACCTGGTACAAGGAGCATGAAGACTCACCACGAGCATCAGGACAGAACTTCACCATCACTGACTTCACAGCTGAACACAGTGGGAATTATTACTGTGAAGCCCAGAACGAGATGGGATGTAGTAACTCCACCTTAATTCTGATTAATTCTTCAGGTAAAATACACTCATTCTTCTGTTCCTTCACACATTGTATCAACAATCCAGCTAAAGAAGTGACTCACAGGGTGACCAGACGTCCTCTTTCTGAGACCTAAATAATGTGTCCGGGATTTTGGTTCGTCGGATATTTGTGTTTCTGAGTCTTTCACAAACTAGTTATTCCGCCCTCACAAGTGGTGTAAATGGTGTCTCCCTTACGCTCCACCTTCCTGCGCAAGCTCTGACTGTAGAGAGAACAGTCATTGGTGGACCGATCGCCATGTTGCCAGATACACGATAATTATCCTCCACATACGACCATTTTGAGCCTTTGGTACGATACTTGACCATTTCCAATGTGGCAACACTGAGCACCTTGCCGCCTCCACTAGTTGCTTTGTTTACAGCACATGACATCCGCATCCATCTATCCATCCATCTTCAACCACTTGTCCGGGGTCGGGTCGCGGGGGCAACAGCTCCAGCAGGGGACCCCAAACTTCCCTTTCCCGGGCCACATTTACCAGCTCTGACTGGGGGATCCCAAGGCGTTCCCAGGCCAGTGCAGAGATATAATCTCTCCACCTCGTCCTGGGTCTTCCCCGGGGCCTCTTCCCAGCAGGCCGTGCCTGAAACACCTCCCTAGGGAGGCGCCCAGGGGGCATCCTCACCAGATGCCCAAACCACCTCAACTGGCTCCTTTCGACGCAAAGGAGCAGCGGCTCTACTCCGAGCTCCTCGCGAATGGCTGAGCTTCTCACCCTATCCCTAAGGGAGACGCCAGCCACTCTCCTGAGGAAACCCATTTCGGCCGCTTGTACCCGTGACCTAGTTCTTACGCTCATGACCCATCCTTCATGACCATAGGTGAGGGTAGGAACGAAGATTGACCGGTAGAGCTTTGCCTTCTGGCTCAGCTCTCTTTTCGTCACAACGGTGCGGTAAAGCGAGTGCAATACCGCCCCCGCTGCTCCGATTCTCCGGCCAAACTCACACTCCATCTTCCCCTCACTCATGAACAAGACCCCGAGGTACTTGAACTCCTTCACTTGGGGTAAGGACACATTCCCTACCCTACATTTAGAGGTGCTAATCCTCATCCCGACCGCTTCACACTCGACTGCGAAACGCTCCAGTGAGAGTTGGAGCTCACAGACGGAAGATGCCATCAGGACCACATCATCTTCAAAAAGCAGCGAGGAGATCCGCAGCCCCCCGAACTGTAGACCCTCCTCCCCCCGACTACGCCTCAATATCCTGTCCATGAAGACCACAAACAAGATTGGTGACAAGGCGCAGCCCTGGCGAAGGCCAACCCCCACCGGAAACGCCTTCGACTTACTGCCGAGCCCCCGAACACAGCTCTCGCTTTGGGCGTACAAGGATTGGATGGCCCCAAGCAAGGACCCCCCCACCCCGTACACCCGCAGCACCTCCCACAGTATCTCTCGGGGGACCCGGTCATACGCCTTCTCCAAGTCCACAAAACACATGTAGACTGGTTGAGCATACTCCCAAGCCCCCTCTATGATCCTGGAAAGAGTGAAAAGCTGGTCCGTTGTTCCACGACCAGGACGAAAACCGCATTGTTCCTCTTCAATCCTTGGTTCGACTATCGGCCGAACCCTCCTTTCCAGCACATTAGAGTAGACTTTACCCGGGAGGCTGAGTAGTGTGATACCCCTGTAATTGGCACACACTCTCTGGTCCCCCTTTTTGAAGAGGGGTACCACCACCCCGATCTGCCACTCTTTTGGCACTGTCCCAGACTTGTGTTGAAGAGGCGTGTCATCCAAGACAACCCCCCAACACCCATTGCTTTTAGCATCTCTGGACTCTTTGCCACTGCAGAGTTCTTTGACTACCTCAGTGACTTCCACTAGGCCAATTGACGATGATCCCTCCTCCGCCTCCAGCTCCGCCTCCACCAAAGAGGGCGTAGTAGTTGGGTTCAGGAGTTCCTCAAAGTGTTCCTTCCACCGCCGGATAACCTCTTCAGTCGCGGTCAACAGGGTCCCATCCTTACTGTACACAGCTTGGATGGTTCCCCGTTTCCCCCTCCTGAGGTGCCGGATGGTCTTCCAAAAACACTTTGGTGCCGACCGAAAGTCCTTCTTCATAGTTACCCCGAACTCCTCCCATACTCGCTGCTTTGCCTCCATCACGGCAGAGGCTGCTGCCCTTCGAGCCTGTCGGTACACTGCAACTGCCTCTGGAGTCCCACCGGATATCATAACCCGGAAGGCCTCCTTCTTCAGTCGGACGGCTTCCCTGACCACCGGTGTCCACCACGGAGTTCGAGGGTTACCGCCCCTTGATGCACCTAAGACCTTGAGGCCACAACTCACCGCCGCGGCTTCAGCAATGGAGGTTTTGAACATAGACCACTCTGGTTCAATGTCCCCTACCTCCACAGGAATGTGAGAGAAGCTCCGCCGGAGGTGTGAGTTGAAAATCTTTTGGACCGGGGCCTCCTCCAGACGTTCCCAGTTCACCCTCACTACACGCTTGGGTTTACCGGGTCTGTCCCGAGTCTTCCCCCATCCTCTGACCCAGCTCACAACCAGATGGTGATCAGTTGACAGCTCTGCCCCTCTCTTTACCCGAGTGTCCAGAACATGGGGCCTCAGATCAGACGATACGATTACAAAATCGATCATTGATCTTTGGCCTAGGGTGCTCCGGTACCACGTACACTTATGAACATCCTTATGTTCGAACATGGTGTTTGTTATGGACAATCCGTGACTAGCACAGAAGTCCAGTAACAAACACCCGCTCGGGTTCAGATCAGGGAGGCCATTCCTCCCAATCACGCCTCTCCAGTTATCTCCATTGTCGCCCTCGTGCGCATTGAAGTCTCCCAGTAGGACTATGGAGTCCCCTACTGGAGCCCCATGCAGGACTCCATTCAGGGTCTCCAAAAAGGCCGAATACTCTGAGCTGCTGTTTGGTGCATATGCACAGACAACAGTCAGAGTTTTCCCCCCCTCCACCCGAAGGCGTAGGGAGGCGACCCTTTTGTCCACTGGGGTAAACTCCAATGTAGCAGCACTCAGCCGGGGACTTATGAGTATCCCCACACCCGCCTGGCGCCTCACACCATGGGCCACTCCGGAGTAGAATAGAGTCCACCCCCTATCCAGGAGTGTGGTTCCAGAGCCGAGGCTGTGCGTAGAGGTAACCCCCACCAGATCCAACTGATAACGCTCCACCTCCCGCACAAGCTCCGGCTCCTTCCCCCCCAGAGAGGTTACGTTCCACGTCCCCAGAGCCAGCATCTGCCGCCCAGGTCTGTTCCGTCTAGACCCCCCACTGTCACTGCCACCCTTGTAGCAGCGCACCCGACCCCATCGGTTTCCTCCACAGGTGGTGAGCCCATGGGTAGAGTAGAGTGTTGGGCTGCCGCGTCACTCCTTCGGGCTGTGCCCGGCCGGGCTCCGCGGTAAACCCGGCCACCAGACGCTCGCTGTCGGGCCCTCCATCTGGGCCTGGCTCCAAATGGGGGCCCCGGGCTTCCTCCGGGCCGGGTAACTCCTTCCCTCTTCCGTTTTTTCATGAGGGTCTTGAACCATTCTTAGTCTGGCCCCTCGCCTGAGACCACTTTGCCAAGGGTAACCCTACCAGGAGCACAAGGCTCCCGACAACACAGCCCTCAGGTTCATAGGGACACACAAACCTCTCCACCACGATAATGTGACGGTTCCCAGAGAGGTAACATCCGCATCTCTTCTTTTAATATGTGGCCATATAAAATAATTGATTATTTAGAATTTTGAATTTGTTATCATCATTGCTTTAATAAATGGACAAGATACATTAAAGAAGCGCTGGACTAAATGCCAGAAGAGAGATTTGTTTTACATTTGCACTTTGCAGTTTTGTTAAAGTTCCATACATAGATGTTCATATAGTCATTTGTGACCTTTGTATGCAGTCACAATGTCATGGTGCAAGTCTCACATTGGACATGAGCTTTTGTTCAGCGCTGGATTCTCTTCCTGAGCTGCTTGATGTCGCTTTGTGACTCTTCTGTCGCCAACTTGGGGATAAAGAGGACGTCTATGCAGCCATAGATATTATATATAAAGGCTAGATGTCTTTGGTTTGTTATAAACATCAGAGATGTAGTTATGACACTGCACACGTATGAATAATGTTCTGTTTGATATAATTTCTGTATGAAAACCCATGGTTACAATTATTCATAAGTATGCAGTGTCATAACTACATCTGTGTGCAGGGAGCGGATTACAACATGCATCTTGTACCTATTTTAGAACATTCTATTTATTAGAACATAACATCATTTTGTATTATATATATAATAATTATTCATATAAGTACATGTTTTACTACCAACACAATGTTATGGGTGAGCCAGCTGACCGACCCAAGATGGCCGGATATTCTGTTTCACTGAGTTAAACATCTTATTTTTGTCACTAATTCATCCTCCACCCTCCATATTTAATAGTTTATATTTGTTGTTGTTTGCTTTCTTTCCCGTGTAGGAAAAGGAGGCTGCACATGGTCAACAACAACAACTGTTTTTGCATCCATATCTGCTGTTTTCCTGCTGATCATCATCCTCGCTGTCCTCTACATCAGGTGAGCGGTTCAGCTTCACTGTGATTGGCGGCTCGTCGTGGCTCAGGGAGTAGAGCGGGTGTGCTGGTAGGCGCAAGGTTGGAGGTTCGAATCCCGGCTGCCCCATGTCTCAAGTCAAAGTGTCCCTGAGCAAGACACCTAACCCTAATTTCTCCCTGGGCCAAACGTAAAAAGCAGACCAGAGAATAACGTTCAGGTGAGGAGGAAGAGCTCAGTGTGGAGGCCTGTTAGAACCTTCATCATATCATGAATAACTTAAATATTAATCCTGTTAGTCTCCAAAAGGTCAAACTATATCCACGTACACTCTGGTTGTACTTAATGTTCTTAATGAATCTGTGTGCGTGTCGTCCTTGTACACAGCGTGCACAGTATCCACAGACACACGATGACAGTTTGTAGATGGAACTTCAATAACCTCAATGACCTTAATTACAACCATTAAACACATGAGACCTCCATGAGAACCTGTAGAGCCCAAAGGAGTCATTAGAGAACAAGCCCTGCAGATATTCTACTATCTGGTCCTTTGTACTTCAGTCCAACAATACTATCCAATAAGTACTTCTTCTTCTTTGATGCAGATCCCACTGACCAACGTTGGACACCAGGAGGAAGAGGAGGAAGAGGAGAAAAAGAAGACGACGCCGTCCACATGTATCCACTTTGATGAAGGCAGCGAGTGACAATCTTTACTGAATATGGATCCGTCTCTGCTTTTATCATCACTGTTTTATTGCTGTTTAAACGTGTTAATGATTCATTTAGTGAGTTTACGGTTCTTTCACTGACGGAGATGTGAAAGAGCTGTGGATGATACTTAAGCTCTTGATTTTTCGATTTCTTTCGATTCTCTCGATTCTCGATTCAGAAAAGTTAATAATCGAAAAAAAATATTTAAAAAAAGTCCGTCTCGCGCGAGATATTTGCTCGCTCGCGGGTTAATCTCTGCTCGCGCTCGAAGGTGTTTTCTACGCGCTCGCTGTTGTTCTTTCTGACAGTAAGGGGGCGGAGCCAGTCACCATGGTCTCTACACCTGATTGGTTACAAACCGCGTCCTTGGATTGGCTGGAGTGATGCATCCACACAACTATAGAAGCCCATTTCTGCACTAAAGAAATGATGAGATAAAACGTTTTCAAGAAACAAACGCCCCCCTTGGGTAACTGTAGAGGACCGTAGATGACTTCATTTAAAAGAAAAAGTTTAGAAGTAGTTTAGAATCGATAATTGGATTAGAATGGAATTGTTGACCTCTGAATCGGAATCGAATCGTGAGGTGCCAAGAGATTCCCACCCCTACTGTCAGCAATGAACCCACACAGATATGTGGTCTGTTACTGTACAGAGTTTAAGCAGCTTAAACACACCTGCATGAATATGAGGTTTGACATGTTGTATATTCACCATCGTTAAGGCTTCCATCAGAGAAGCATCAGGGAGCCAATGGGAGGCCAGCTTGTAGTCTGTAATCAGCCTTTAAATGTTACTAATCAGCAATATGTTACTACCAGTTCTATACAAGCATCTTCAGCTACATTTATCTGCAAATAGTCTTTACCAATATTGCCAATATGCTTCTATTGATTCATCATTTTGACTGAAGTCGCATCACAAGTTGAGAACTTGGCTCAACTTAAAGTGGCTGAATTTGACTATCAGAGTGTTAACAATAGTCCAAAATAGACCCTTTAAGTTGACATGCAAAATATGGAAATCACCACATGTTTCTTTAATTTTGGAGCAGATGTGTAACAGATGTGTTGTGGGAGATTACCACTGGTAGTAAAGCTCAGTCACAAAGGAAGTGGCTTAACATGAATTATACTATGGTTATTTAACCAGAATGTGTATTTTAAACAAGCTACATGATTTCTTTTTAACTGTTTGGGCTTCATGCATCTATAAAAACATAGTAAACATAGTAGCTGCAAGCTGCACTATTTGTTTTAACGTAAGTTCAAAAACATTTACTTCCTATGTGAGTTTTATGCCTAATAAATGTATCATTTGATGTTGTTGTTTCTTCTCTGCAGTGACCAGCAGGGGGCGACTCCTCTGCTCCCATAGACGTTGTAACATTGTAAACATGAGTTTGTGGTCTCAGTCTCTAGTTTAAAGTCTTCTTCAATGCAGCAGGATTGTCGTGAACCGGGTTTTCTCCTCTTTTCCTTTCCAACCCTTTTTTCTCACACACACACACACACACACACACACACACACACGCACACACACGCACACACACGCACACACACACACACACACACACACACACACACACACACACCTGCTCATTCATTCCCAGCTGCTTCTCATCTCGTCATCCTCTCTTCCCCTCACCTCTTCCTACCTTCTGCAATTAGACTCTCTATTTCTCTATTTCCATCCTGCTGGTATGTTTTTTGTTAAAGGGGCCATATTATGAAAATTCCACTTTTTTAGTACCTCAATACGTTAATTTGGGTATCTGGCATGTCTCCCAACACAAAAACGCTGGAAAAAACCAACTCACGCGGCTTGTTGTGGTGTTGTGTTGTGGTGTCAGAAACGATATGCTTAAGTGCGTCCAATGGGATCACCACCAACGTCTAAGTAGATTTTAAAGCATGCCCATGTATTGAGTCTGCCTACATGGCCTTGGACCCCCCCCCCACCACCACTCGACCCACCCAGTTTAAAGACGTAATGGCTAGCTGGGCAGGCAGCAGCTATGCGAGCGCATCTCGTCGAGGAGGGGGAGGGGGGAGCTGGCTCTTTAGCATTTAAAGGAACAGGCACTCAAAACAGGTCAATCTGGAGGGACGTGTTTTTGACAGGGTAAAAAGGGTGCTGTTTGAAATGATTTTTGTGGTATTTTGACCAAAATATGTTACAAACATTTCATTGAGACCCCAAGGAACCATATCAACTTGTGGAAAAATGGACATACGATGGGGCCTTTAAGAAGAAGGACGGTTCCTTACGTCCCTGTATTGATTACCGCGGTCTGAATGACGTTACGGTGAAGAACCGTTACCCATTTCCTCTCATGTCATCCGCCTTTGAGCTCCTGCAGGGGGCTAAGGTCTTCACAAAACTAGACCTTCGTAATGCTTACCATCTAGTCTGTATTAAGAAGGGGCACGAGTGGAAATTTATTTGTCAGATCACAGGTCAAGTATCAGCGCTGCGTTTTCAAAGGCAGGAGCAGTTCAGGCAGCACACAGGCCGGAAGAACAACTAACTAACATCAGCAAGAACATCATGTTTTATAACCCTTGAAAGACAGAGAAGGACAGATTTCTATTGGCCCTAAACTGGCGTAGAGGAGGACCTTCCACCTCCCGCATCTAAGATCCGGTCTCATCCAATGTCCAGACTCCTGACTTAACGTAAACATCGTAAACAGAGTGTGTATGTTGAATAGTGTTGGTGTGTCTCTAACCCCCCTTTGGCTGGTAAATCTTCTAGTTGACCCGCAGACCTTACATTCCTCAGCCAGGACATGAACTGACTCCCCATCCTGTCAGACTCGTGTCTGCCTGCTTGGCAGATCCTGCTTACCCCCTTACCTAACTCTTACATCAAGACAAGACAGCAAACCCCCAACTAAGCCCATGAAAATAACTTTTGATTATGAAAGCGGAGCCGTCTACAAACAGCTCAAGATCTGCATTGGGAAGAGGTGTGTCCAACAGATCAGGCCTTGGAACACATGTCTGCTGCAAGACTTCAACACAATCATGAAGCTCTCTGTCATCTGCAGTTGGAAGGAGTGTAGCTGGGTTAAGGACATTGCATCGTTTGACAATTACATTAAGTTGTAGGATACCTGAACCATCTCTGAGCAGAGAGGTGAGAAGTCTTCTGGGCACATTAGATATGAGAGACAGTAAGTGGGACCATGAGTGGGACATCACAGAAGCCCACAATGTCATGATGCTAAAATGTCTCTCTCGGCTGCTGCCACTGCTCGCAAACAGAGAGGAAGACCCGAAGCAACAGGGTCAAGTTTTGAGGAGAAGTAGGCAACAGGCCTAAGTTGTCCTCTATGAAGATGACACAAAACTGATGTCATTTAACAGTCCTTCTGGTCTATGAACTGAGTCTACGGTAAGTCGGGTCTCAGCAGGCCCAGAGTCGGGGCCTGTGATAAGGAAGTCTTTAAGTCCTGAAAAGCCTTTTCAGCTTCAGTAGTCCAAGTCAGTTTGTCATGCGCGGTGAGGCCTTTACCGTGGACCATGAACGAGAGAGGTGCCTCTCTTTCTGAATAATTAGGGATCCACTGTCTACAGTATGAAGTCATCCCCAAAAAACTCATCATTCGTTTTTTTTTTTTGTACCAATTGATTTGCCCCACTACGTTTGGGAGAGAGGGATTTTGCCCTCAGCTGTGATCACATGTCCCAGATAAGTCACTTGCTCAATTTTACAAGCCTCCTTTGATGAGCTGCATATCATCATATCAGCCACATAATTAGATGGGCCGACCCCTGCAGAGAAGTTATAAATTATGTAGATGTTCCTAAGCGCTTCTGTGGAATACACCTGACTTCTGTGGTAACCCACTGGACATCCTATCCATTTATAGCCGCGCCCAAAAAAAGAAAAAAAACAAACCAACTTATGTCTTCTTGTTT